CCTTCCTGGCGGGTAAGAATTTTAGTGCACGTCCCCGTATTTTGCTAACTTTACTATCCCTGTTAAAGAAAACTCTAACTCCTTTTTAGTCACAGGACCGTCCATACTTTTGCCGCTGTTCAAAATATGGTTTAGCTGGTGAGCCGAACTCTTCCGGGAATTACACGTATTGACAGCAACTTTTGCAAGCCGAATTGCTTTAAAACTTAAATTTACTTCCTCACTGACGTTCAAAAATGAACAAACGCACGCACGCAGTCACTCAATCACTTGCTTCTTCATGTACAACTGGTACAACCCCTTCTACGGTTATAGCAGTCCTTTAAACCTTCGCTTGCGCCCATTAAAAGAAGTCCATTTTTCTTAAAATATATAGGAAGAAACGTTTGAAACAGACTGAGCTATTTTTCCGCTTAATATGAATATGGGGTGCGTTTAATAAACATTTGACTGCATAACCTAACCTTCCCACTGTTTTCCACAAGAGAGAGTAAAATGAGAATCATTTGATCTGAGTCGTCTGTCCAGTCACCAGTGTCAAACCTCTCGCGATGGAAATCCTTATACTTCATGTCATACTCCAAGTTTGGCATTTTGGGGTGAGAGAACGTTTCGTAAAGTTTTTGAAACGTGGTCTTCTCGTGGTAATTGCCATAAATCTGAGATAAAAAAAGAGAGTCTAATCTTAACTTTACACCAAGAAGACTGTGGAAGATTAGAGCTGCTTTGGAGAAACCCAGGAGAAAAGATTTCACAAGTTTACAGAAACCTTTCAAGGTGTTGGTATTTGACAAAGAATTAGGGAAAATTGGGGAGTATTTTAGAATCTCCAACAGGAAACACACAGATTCCTCTGACTAGCCACTATAAATTTCTCGTGGCATAAGTTGGGAGAAGTTGTTAAAAGATCAGTAGAACAAGTTTTGGGTGATCATTGTGTTAAATGTCGATCATGACTTCTTTCCATGATTATGCCCAGATAGTGACTAGAAATTTGATTATTAGGGCCATTTATACAAGGAAAAATAAGACGCGTCTTACATAATCACGATACTGGGGCTCGAATGGGTGACGTAAAAGGTCTGCCTGCAGTGGTCTCCAGAAAATTAGCAGTAGAAGGAAAAAAAGTTAAGTAGGTGCAAATAGATAAGATAAAATGGCATAGAGCACCTTGAAAGAGCCACAGTAAGGTGTGAAATAAGTACTGGAGGGAGTCAGCCCCAGTGTCTGATGGCTTCCCCGCTCACGGCCCTGAAAAGTGCATTCAAGTGCACTTTGAACAACTAGGGAAGGAGTTTCAGAGTCACAATAGCCTGTTTGGCAGGCGTTTGAAAGGGAAGGAACGGAACGGAAGTTTTAGGCGTGCCCTCGCATTTCTCTCGCGCTTAAAACTCCCTTTCCCTTCCTTTTCAAATGCCTGCCATGCAGGCTAGAGTCACAAAGACAGCACTTTATTAACCCACATTTGCTTAACTTTTAAATTTGTTCCAAATGATTGCTGCTACTTCTGTGACAACTATACACTGCATTTTTGCTGGTCATTTGAGCTTCTGGAAAACCCTGAGCATAGTATGACAGCCCAGTCTATACAGTTGTAGCATTTCATTATACTTTCACTACTGGCAGGTGGTTGCTGCAAGATGATCCAACAAGGTTGCCATGGATACTGTTCTAACACAGCGCATTAGGATAAGGTTCCATCATGTTTCACATAATTCCCCCAACATTTAGCTGCTGGAGATGAATCTACTAATTTATGGGGCAGAGAATACAGACAACCTTAAAATGACTTCTTTGTATAACAAGTACATTCAGAATTTTTTTTTACCAGTTTACAAGAGCCTAAAATTGTTCAGTGAGTATCCAACCTATACGAGGAATATGTTTGCTATTCGCCATACAACCTGTAACCACAGTAGCCATGCAATGTCTCTTAGCAAGCCTAGAACAACAATCAGTGGTCTACACTCATTTTCATATTTTTCTGCCAAACAACGGAATGCTTTCCCTGAGGAATTAAGAAACACTATTTTTCCTGATTTTAAGCAACGCGTACAAAGGGTTAATATGTTTGATTATAGTTTAATTTACTAATTTTTCTCTTGTTTTGCGTATTCAGTATTTTATTTAATATTTAGTTAGTTAGTACCTGCTATAGAGATCTTAATTTTTTTTCTCCCTCAAAAGATATTAGCCATTTAGTGAAGCTAGACTAAAATTTGAGTCAAAATAAAGGTCATGTTATGTCTACCGGAATCTTTCCAGATTTCAAGTCTGGAAAGCAGCATTTGCCACACTTAGCCTTAAGGCCAGTATAGACAATATGCCAACCCCTTTCTTGTTTTATTTGGCAGACCCCTTTCTTTATTGCTGGGAGCGGTACTCAGGTACAGGATTTAGCTAAGGTACGCTGTGCTGCCTGGGAACCAGACCTTACTGGACAGGAAAATATTTTAATTCAACAATGTCACCAAATTCTAGAAATATTAAAGCCAATTATTTATATCCTGTTCTGGCGCACTTTCATTCTAAAGCTTTTTTTTACGGTTGAGACATTATATGCTATTTTATTAAACATGTTTGGATACCCCACTATAGTTTGGGAGTCCCAAAATCACAGCCCTGTTGGAAAATATACATTAATTATTTTAAGGGAATACTTCCTTGACCTGATTTCTGTCTAAAGGAAAATCAGTGCCGAGATAATAGTAGGCCTTAAACTCAACTGAGGGGGAGCAAGGGTGGCGCAGTGGTGAGAGCACTAGCCTCCCACCAATGTGGCCCGGGTTCGAATCCTGGCATTGACGCCATATGTGGGTTGAGTTTGTTGTTGGTTCTCTCCCATGCTCCGAGAGGCTTTTTTTCCGGGTACTCCGGTTTTCCCCTCTCCTTAAAAACCAACACTTTCAAATTCCAATTTGATCTGGAACGCACGGACACGTTTCAACGAGTTCTTATGAACTCCTTAGTGCTCCGTGGGTAAACAAATTACAATTTACAATCTGACAAAATCGGATGACATTTAGTTTTGCTGGCCATTTGCAATCTCTATGTGAACTCCTTAAAATTTGTGTGGATCAATGGTATGATCAAATAGAGCCTCTGTATGAGGCCCTTGAAAGGAATATGAACTCGAGAGGTAAAATAATGGAGGTTTAACCTCAAATTGAACTTACATGCATTGCTTCTTTCTTTGTCATGAACTCAGTCAGCAGGCCAATAGCATCTCCGATGCAATTTCCATAGATAGTACCAAGAATGTGATCCAACAGAACTTCATCACTAAGAGTAGACTTTGTGTTGAAAGAAGGCTTTGGTTTACTCTCGTGTTGAATATCTAAACCCTGAAATTGATAATTATTAAAATTAATGATAATTGAGTATATACTCTCAAATTTTTTATAAGTCACTAATATTTTAGCTTTAGGAGATTCCTTCATATGGGTATTTTGAAGTAACTGTAAAAATATTTTCAGGTAAGAATAAGGTATGAACTGAACATTCTTCATGATTGTTAAATCTCTTAGATCATTGCTTCATCAACAGTGCCTGTCACAACTTCAATTTCATCAGAAATACCCATAGAGTAGGAGTGCATCTCTGTATATCTCTTGAGGGAAGGAGGATATGATACTTTATATATTACCAGATCACATATACACTAAGGGGGAGAGGCTTGTCTTGGGACATTCTATTTTTCATTCCCCCCCTCCCCCCCTCCTCCCCCACCACATGAGGATGGCAGGTTTTTGAAAAAGGAGTTTTTCATTTCTTCTTCAATTAAGCTGAAAATAATTGGACCCTTCAGACATTTTTTTCAAAGGTTTTGACAAATAATCAACCCTTCAGATTGCATTTTCAAAGGGCGCCAACAAAAAAAAATTGAGGGCTGGGATAATCCCAGTACACCTTCCTTTTGGAGGTGGGAATGGTTCCGAAAAAATGAAACGTTCCTCTGAGAAACACTTCCTTGCACTTCTTGCTGACTAAAAGGGGATATCATGAGTGATCACACCCCATAAAAAACAAAAGATTATTGGAACTCCTTAGGAACTTTCTACAAAGATGAACGATGAGATTGGATAACATGTCAGGACGTTTTCACTTCCTTCTTGAAAGAACTTACGGCAGAACTTTCTGAGTTTACGTCGACGGCTGCATCTTCATCTGTGCTTCTCATTGACGAGGACTCAACGTTTGACGGTTTCTCTTCTTCTGATTTCGGGTTTTCCGCTGAATCTCCCGTATTGTCTCTTGTCGAAGAATTTTCTTCTGTTCCAGTGTCGTTGGACGGTCTCTTGCTATGATCCAGATCATCGCCGCCAGCGCCAGTTGCATCTGGAAGAGTTTCAGCTTCTTTTGCGGAAGAACCCGACTGATCATTGCCCGTAGGTGAATCCATTCGAAAAAGTTTCGACAACAGGTTGGGATGAAAGCAATATTTTCTGATGAACTTGCAAACTAGGCCATCTAGACTTTCTGTTCTGGGAAGTTGGGCGGAAGTGGTCAGTTTGAGGTCAGCGGAGCGAAACTCGGATTTTCGTAAATACTTCATATATAGTAATTATAATGTACCGATAAATGAAGGGGAGCACAGGCTACGAACCCGGGGGGCTATTTTTTTTTTTAACTTCCCCTAGGTCTCCGAGGATTGAGGTGGGTGCTTATTTGAGAGGGGAGGCTCCATTAAGAACTAGAATGCAAAGTAAAAAAGTTCAGTTACAAGAAGCTGGAGCCCAGGAGCAGGTCATTCAGCCGAAGATCAGAAACAAATCCGACGCTCCAGTTGGTGCCATAAACCATCACGGATCAGTCCACAAGAAGTTTTACAGTCGTGATTGATTAATACAGTCTCTCCTTTATTAGTGTAGAATAATAGGGGGAGGGGGAAGGGAGCTTATTAACTTTGTTCCCCGAAAAGTGGCGGGGGGGGGGGACTTTTTTGGGGGGGGGCTAGGCTTTGGTAGATTGTGCTAGCATAATTTTAAGCAAAATTCAAAAAAACGAGAATTATTTTAAGTTTTAAAAAGGTTTAACATTGCTAGCATAATCC